TAATTGTGATTCTGCAATTGTTTCAAACAATTTAAAGTAAACAAAACTCTAGTTTTAATTTTTCATTCGAAAATTTTCCTTGCGAACTATCTTGTACGTTTAATCTCGACGCATCGAATGTTTGTGGCTCATAATTTTATCCTTGAAACATGTCTAACGTGCTTTTCATACATAAAGCAATTCGTACACAATTCTCTTGCATCAGCTAATATGTTTCATTCAATTTCGCGTGTTTATTGCATATAATTTAAGTAAAGCGTCGTGCAAGCTGATAGTTTATATTTAAATTATAATCAAACTTATTTTTCTCTATATGAAGAACGTTTTTCGTGATGCTGTTTTAAATTTTTTTATCCATAAGGTATAGTTAGCAAAAATTAGTTGTAAAAAGTTGAATTAAACTGATGAGGAGCGCCAAAAATGATTTGTCTTGGAAGAACCCCCCACACCTTCCAGCGCTTTCTCAAAAAATTTCGCTTAGGTCATAGATCTTGATGTAATAGATTTCTCCAGTAATTTCCAGAAGCATCCACAGGGTCGACAACATGGTCATCAAGACGTCAAAAGTGCCATTTTGAACAATGAGCATGTACAATTTGTGTACAATGGGGTTGGTTCACTGTCGGGTGAACAGCCCCCCTAGTTTGGGTAATTAATTTTTTTTGTCAAATTTTAGAATCGGATTTTTGCATATTCATCCTGGCTATTTATCCTCCACCCAAAAGGGAGAGGGATGAAAAGCTACTGATTCTTAGGTACTAGTATGTAGTTTCAAAACGTTACATCTTTCTTGATAGTTTTTATTTATTAATAAAGTGAAATCAATAAAATGAAATTATTTAATTCAAGTATTTTTCTGAAGAACAAATTTGGCTGTTTTTTCTATGGGGGTAATATGAATTCGAGTTCTGGTGCCATTAAAGATTCGCTGTGTAGAGGATCTGATGCGTGTTACATCTGGAGAGGTTCAAAGTAGGGTTTCTTTCCTGGGATCATCCCGGGTACCTGGGAAATCATAAAATTTCTGTACTTTTTCTATTCCCGGGTATTATAATCCATTCCCGGGATTTCCTGGGCATTCCCGGGAAATCGGAAAGCCTAGTTCAAAGACCTCACGTTCATGTGATGTGGGAGATCGGAGAGGGGGTTGCTAGCTCAGGCACCACACCACCCTCGTCACTTGACCGAGGTTCAAAATTTCGAAATTCACCTGCTATGACCCTCGTATCGCTTTAAAGTGCGACGATAATTAAATATCAATCGAATTGAAATAATCTTTGATGGATTGATGCCTTTCGGCGTGCCGTGGAGAGATTCAAAGACCTCGCGTTGGAAGTTTGGAGAGTTGACTGTCAACTCAAGTCTCGACCTCGCCATTTGACTGTGGTTTTAAATTTAAAAGATCCGTTACCAATGGCCCTCAGGTTGCTTCCTAGTGCGAAGTTGAATCGTAGGAGAAAACGTCCTAACAGAAGTATTACCCCCAAAATAGAAATACAATTGACGCCTCACAAACCCCAAAAAAAAGCACACCTTTACAGAATACATCAGACGAGGACATGCTTGCGTTTGATGTTGAAGAAAAGGTGGAAACGCCGAAAAAGAAAAAGGATGAATATTACTTGTCGGAAAAAATGGTGGCAAGACGAGGCTTGGAGACGTGAACAATATTTGCACACGCTAACTCCAACCCGTCTTAGAAACAGTCCGAGATAATTTTTTACCCTTTACTATTTTACAACATTTTGCTACGTCCTAGATTGAATTTTAATACCAATTTTTACATTTCTGTCAGGTCTCAATTTAAGTTTTACTTAAGGCTGTTTTCGGCTAATGTTAAAGTATAGGACCCGAATTCGGAATATTTTTTCAGATATAAAAGTACTCAAACATTAATATTATATTCTGGCTTCACCATCCTGTAGAGAATCGCTTATTTTTATCATACTACTCATTTTTATCCGAGTTGGTGCATTTTTTTCTATTATAAAATGTTTCACATTTTTTTCTCCTATACCGTAATGCTAAATGAGCTATCCCTTTTACATGTTAAAAGAAAAAACTATTTATTTATGAAATATTTTGAAATTTTAAAAACACTATATTATAAACAAATGCATGAGTTACGATGTCACAAATTTTTATAAAAATTGAAGTATTTTTTCTGTCCGAAAATGGGCTCCGCGTTTTCACGCTCTTGTATATACGGCGAAAACAGCCTTAATGCCTTTCTTTGTTTTAAACCTGTCCGTTATTTTAAGATCTTGTTTGTCATGGTTGGGGTACCACCCCAGCACAATTTGTTTTTTATCATTAGAATAGCTTTTTTTTTATATACATGTCGATATATATTTTAACTTTTATCGAGAGGGCATTGTCAATATTCTTTAAATATTTTAACAATTACTTTCATATTTTAATAAATGTTTGGCTCAGTTTAGCCAGATATGACTCTGGCGCCATAAACCCAAACACTCAAGTGCGAAGTGGATCAGCAACCAAGGATCTTGGCTCTCATAAATGAAGTGGCCGCGGTAGCCGAGTGGTATAGGTATCGGATCGTGGCTGGCTTTGTCACGAGTTCGAGCCTAG